CCAATCGATTCTCTCTCATCATTGATGTCTCTCTATCTCTCTCCCTTCATCTCTGAAATCAATAAAAATATATTTTTTAAAAAGGAAAGAAAGGAGAGTACTCACAATACAATGTATAACTCAGCTATAAACATTACTGGTATAATTATCATAATGTACATATTGACTTAACACCAAAGATTTGATATAAACATTTAGGGGAGCTGTGAGATGGAATATGGGGGCAGGGGTGTCCAGGAGTTCACGCCTCCTTTGAGTAGAAGGAAGTCAGTACCCCCTTCCTGAAACAGAGATGAAAACCAGAGCAACCTGTGATGAAGGGGGAGGGGTCCGGGTGTGGGGGGTGCGGGGAGAAATGGGGGACATCTATAATACTGTGAACAATAAAAATATTTTAAAAAACAAACAAAAAACACCAGAACAACAACAAACAAGGAATGGCCTAAGATGCCATTTAGAACAAGGAGGTAAAAGCCAGAAGAAGCCTGAGGATCAGGCGCGGTCTGCGGGGGACTGGAGCCTGCAGCTGGGCTCCGGTGCGAGAGTGCACATTGTCACCAGGGGAAGAATCCAAAGGAAGTTCACGCGCGAGTGGGCGGTGAGCAGTGGAGATAGGAAGGTAAGGAAGCTAAGGGTGGGGAGGAGATGGGGGAGGCAGTGCTGGGAGTGATGAGGCAGGTCTCAGGGTGGAAGTCCTTACCACCCAGGGCCGGGGGCCTCGGGTTAGACCCCCCAGGAGCTGGCAAGGGCCTCAGCACAGCCCGGCCACAGAACCCGGCCTTGGACCTCCCTGAGGGATATTTATGCCTGGTGTTTGGATGCTGATGGGAGGGGTCGAGACCCGTGAAGGCAGAAAGGACGGGAGAGGAGCAAACCCACTGAGAGGGCCTTCGAGGCGGAGGGTGAGAGGGACCAGGACTCCATGGGAGGGGTTCACCCTTGCAGCTCCTTGTGACTGGGGGGTTACTCTATAGACCTGGCACGCTTCTCTCTTCCTGATGACCCCGTGTGTGTCTGCGGCGTTTGGGGGAGAGGGGCGCTCTCCTGCAGCCGTGCCCCGGCCCAGGGCTGCCACATTGCCGGCCAGCGTACCTGCTCCGTGAAGTGGCCACAGGGAGGACGTGCCTGGTCTGAGGTGATGGGATGGGTGGGACAGGAGTCAGGGACCCACGGTTAGAGGTGGGTCTGGAGTCGCTGGGAGGGAGGGAACAGTTGAAGCCTTAGGAAGTGGGGCTCACAGTCGAGAAGGACAGAACCAGCCCTAAAGGAGGGAGGGCTGGAGCAGAGGGAGCAGCGAATCCAAAAAGGATGCAATGGGACATATTGGGGAGCAAAGGGGGGACCGCCCCCAATCCTCCACCTCATCCAACCTGCACCCTTTCTTTCATCCCGCGCCTCCCTCCTTCTGACCTGACCTCCAATAGCAAAGGCAGCGGAGACAGGCGCTGGTTAAGCCTGTCTCAGATAATTAAGGAAGACAGTTTGATGCGAGAAACCAAAGACCAGAGGAGCCGTGGAACCAGCTCAGGCTGTCAGTTCAGGCCCCGCTGCGGCCCTGAGCCTGGGGGCTGCTCCTTCCAGGGTAACCACCGGCCAGCTTCGAGGGCCTCCACCTGCTTCTCCCAGGAACTCTGAGGGGGGAAGCCTGGTGGACATCAGGCGGCGTTCATGGAAGGGATAGTTCTGCTTAACTGTAGGCTCAGAACCTGGCTCGGATTTGGAATTAAGAATGCTATTGGGCCCAGCCGCGTGGCTCAGCGATGGAGCATCGACCTATGAACCAGGAGGTCAGGGTTCAATTCCCGGTCAGGGCACATGCCCAGGTTGCAGGCTTGACCCCCAGTGGGGAGCGTGCAGGAGGCAGCCAATCAATGATTCTATCTCATCATTGATGTTTCTCTCTCTCCCTCTCCCTTCCTCTCTGAAATCAATAAAGATATATATATTTTTAAAAAGAATGCTATTGGAACTAGGATGTTCCAGTTAAAAACAAAACTTTGTGCAAAATGCAGCGAAGTGAGCCCCCTACGCCGGCCCTCGCTGGGAGACGCGCCTCCGCAGGGCCCTCCGTGAGGCCGGGCAGCACTGGCTTTTGCAGGAATGGCCACGAGAGCGAGCGGGTCACCGTTGCTTCTGGAAGAGGAGTTGCACCCGGGCTGGGACCTCTCAGACCCGCGGCCTGCCTACCCCTCTCCTCATCAGCTCGTAGTCACTTACCCAGGAGTCCAAAGAGCAGACGCCACAGGCCGGGGACACCAGGAGGGACGTTCCCTCTCCCCATCTTGAGATGACTCAGCGGGCAAGTCCCCAGGGAGAAGCCTGGGAGCGAGGAAGGGTGGGCTGCAGAGGCCGCTCGAGGCACGGTACCCCCGCCTCCAGGGGAAGTCTAGTCGCAGAACTCCCGGGCCAGTCAGGGCCAGGCGGGCCTCCAGGGTGGGGCTGTGGAGCTCCACAGATTGTCCCAGTTTGTTCTGGTTTTCTTCTCTTTTCTCATGAGCACGTCAGTCCGAGGCATTTATACCGGCCAGAGCCTCGGCCCTCCCTGCCCAGGGAGGGGCATCTCTGTGCCCGGCTCTGCCGTTTGTGCTGTTGGCACAGAGGTCCCCTGCCCCAAAGGCAGCCGAGGGGGCAGGCCCGGGAGGGGCGAGGAGGGGATCCGTGCTGGGAGGAAGGGACCCGCCCTTTGAACCAGAAATGATCCTAAGTCTGTTTGCTTTGAGTGTATGCCTCATTTCATAGCAGGCGCCTGTAGAGAAGGAAAGAGGAAGAGGAAGAGGAAGCAAATGGATCTTAGAGGTCAGCAGGTGTTCATCCAGGGAAGCTGGCGCCCTGGGGCCTGAAGAAGCAGCCACACGGAGGCTCCTCCAGGTGCCGGTCCGGGGGTCCTTCCTCTGCGCTCCGGGCTCTCACGCGGTCCCCCTGAGAGAGGGGGAGGGCCGGCGCAGCCGCTGGTCCGGCCTGGCTTTGGCGAGGGCTCAGAACGGGCCAGGGCCTAACCCATGACCGTCCCATTTCTAGGCCTCCCAGCTTGCAGTGGCTGAACTTGACACCGCAGGTCAGATGTGCAAGGACAAAAATGTAACGACTTGCTCTCACTGATCTGACTTTGTTCCTGGGCGCGTCCCGCCAAAGGCAGGGAGGCTGTGGTGAGGGATGAGGCCGTGAATTGAGTGCCAGATGTTGGCTTTCATTTCACTTCCTTTTAAAAGGGTCTCTTGAGATCAACCAAAGGACTTGTATGCATGCAAATAAGCCTAACCTATGGACACAGACACCGGGGTGAGGGCATGAAGGGGGTTGGGGGGCGATTGGGGGGTAAGGACACATATGTAATACCTTACTCAATAAAGAAAAAAAAGGTAGAGAAGGTTTCTGCCCTCATAAAGCTTACATTCTAGTGGGGAGATAAATACAATAAACAAGGAAACTAATTAATAAATATAATAATTCCCACTGATGGAAAACACTATACGGAAAAGGAAACAAGGTCATGTGACATTAGCAGGTAGGAAGAAGGAACACACTCTAAGGCAGCGGTTCTCAACCTGTGGGTCGCGACCCCTTTGGCGGTCAAACGACCCTTTCACAGGGGTCGCCTAAGACCATCCTGCATATCAGATATTTACATTATGATTCATAACAGTAGCAACATTACAGTTATGAAGTAGCAACGAAAACAATTTTATGGTTGGGTCACAACATGAGGAACTGTATTTAAAGGGCCAGAAGGTTGAGAACCGCTGCTCTAAGGTGTAGCCAGCCTTTGTGAAGCAGTGACATTGAACTGAGATCTGAAGAACAAAGCTCTTGAAGAAGATCCTAGAGAGGGCTGAGCACCAGCAGCCCGAGGCACCACGAGGAACTTAAAAAAATTGAAAACGGAATCTGGGTAACTGACACCCAGTAGCTAGGCAACCAAAGGCTGTCTCAGTCCGTCTCCAGGGATGCTGACCTGGCATGGTTTCCTAAGATGTCCTGTGGCTTCCGTCCTTCATGCCCTTGCCTGTGCTGTTTCTCCATCTGCACACACTCCTCCCTGTGGGCCCTTCTCCCACCTTGTTCACCTGATGCACTCCTGCTCATGCGATATCGCTCTAAGAAGGTTTCCTTGACTCACCCAGGAAGAGGTAGGCCCTTCCTCCTCCTGGCTCCCATGGCAGCCTAGGAATACCACTCACCTCAGCGTACTATTTAATCATTTATTTTCTTGTGTGTGTGTGTGTGTTTTAAATCTTTATTGTTGAAAGTATTACGTATGTCCCCTCTCTGCCCCATTGATCTCTCCCACCCGCCTCCAGCCCCCACCTCAGCTCCTCACCACCCCCCATCTGTGTCCATAGGTTATGCATATGAGTTTACTGGTTGATCTCTTCCCCCCCAAACGCCACCTTCCCCTGCCTTCCCTCTGAGGTTTGACAGTCTGTTTGATGCTTCTATGAGCATGGATGGACCTCGAGCGCATTACGCTAAGTGAAATAAGCCAGTCAGAGAAAGATAAGTGTCACATGATCTCACTCATATGTGGAATCTAATGAACAACATTAACTGATGAATAATAATTTATTTTCTTGTCAAAAAATTTAAAAAAGGGTCTCTTGGAGCCCTGGACGGTATGCTAAGTGGTTAGAGCGCCAGCCTGCAGACCAAAGGGTCCCAGGTTCAATTTCCCGTCAAGGGCACGTACCTGGGTTGCTGGTTCGACCCAGGCCCAGTAGGAAAGCACTTGGGAGGCACCAATCTATGTGTCTCTCTCACATCTATGTTTCTCACTCTCCCTCCCCCCCTCGCTCCTGCCCTTCCACTCTCTCTAAAAATCAATGGGAGAAATATCCTTGGGTGAGGACTAACAACAACGAAAGGTCGCTTGGAGCACATATTGTGTGGTTGGTCTACTTCTATGCAAAGCCTGCGATGATGTGTAGCTATGACCGGTGGCTCCAGGGGGGTGATATCAGAGTGGCAGGAGCGCTTGGCGGGCTGGCAGTGTGTAGGCACGTTACAATGCCACGGCCTCAACACAGGAGGTGGCCGCCTTGCACACTTTCAACGCCATCTCAGGGCTGGATTTTTCCTTCCAAGGAAATCCCGCTGAGGGAGGCGCACTCCTAACGGGCGGGGGAAGAGGACCCCACTCCCTCCCACCCCACTGGCCCCAGAGCCGGCGCTGCATCCACAGACCCTGAGACACAAGGGTCACAGAGAAAGAAGGAGGAGATCGGTCACAGAGAAAGAGTCTAGTAACTCAGCCAGACTCACACGCTAATAAGTCAGGAGCTAAACTAGCAGGCCAGCTTCAGAGCCTGTGCTTGCACACACACCCAGGAAAGAGGCCAGGAGCCGAGGGCGGGAACTTTTGCTTTCTCAGGTGCAAGAATTAGTGTGTCACAGCGCCATAGGCATTCCAGGGGCCCACACCTGTGCAAAGTAAACAGAGCGTGGTTTTGAAGTTCATCCTTCGCCTCGGGTGCTGAACGCTACTTGGAAAGGCTCCCGACTCGCTGCGCGGCCCTCAGCCTCCCAGGCGCGGCGCTGCCTCCCGTGGGACAGTCATCAGGAAACACCTCGGACAAAAGGAACAGCTTTCCTGTGAAATACAAGCCACATGGTCCTGCCTGCGACCCACCTGCGTCCAGGTGGCCCCGACCGCGGTCCCTGCCTGGAGGTGAGGGTCTCAGGACGTGCTCGGACTTCGTCAAATGTCTGAGCCACCATCTGCATAGAGAAACTACGGATTCCGTATGGTTTATGTTTCATCTAAACTTCTTATCACAAATTTAATCATTTTTAAATGCAATTTCTCCCTCTTGTAAGTACAGACATTGGAACAGTAAGAAGTGTCACTGCTGTTTGAACGGCTGAAGGGGGTGCTGGCGCTGCAGCATCGCCGGGTCTCCCGTTGGCGGCACCAAGCGCCTGCCCGGCGCGGCCTCCTGCTCTCCGACATGCTACTTGCCCCGCTTAATTAGCTGCAATATATTTTTGCTTAAAAGGTTTTTCTGCGCATGTTTATACACCAAAAGACATGTCTATGTGCTTTTAAAAGTTATAGTCCTCAATAACCTTTTGGTGAAAGTGAATGAAAATGTTCTTCTATGAAATGTTTTTCCATATTTTTAAGAAAATATGAAGCACAAACCTACCTAATATAAAAAACAATCGCATCATTTTAGTCTCCCCACTGCAGGACTGCTCTGGGGCCCCCCCCCCCCCCCCCCCCCCCCCCCCCCCCCCCCCGCCCGCCC